GTTGGTTACGTGGGAGCAATGGTAGAACAGATTTCATTTTGCAAATCAGATCATACAGGCATACACCTGGATCACATTGGGGCAATGTTAACAATATGCAAAAAATATTTTAATGAAATTACATTGAATAAAGTTCATGCTCAGAACTGTTCTTTTTAATAAAATTTTTCCTGGCAATTTGTTTACTGATGAGGATGGTGATAGTTTTGTTTTTTTTTTTCCAATGCAGTGCTCATTCCTGCCATGTTTTCTTAATGTCTTCCTCCCTTGCATTCCATTGTAAGTGGTCTCTTTCCATTAGTGGGGCTGTCCTGACTTAATGATGCCTTCTGCCAAAGCTTTAAGAAGTGTCTTCTCTCTTGAGCACTTGGGAAGTAGGAACATTCTGACTGTTATCTGTGACTGTGTTTTGATATCCTGCCCTTTCTGTCCCTTACCTCAGCATACAGCATTCACCTTTAGCCCTAGCTCATTGCTTGGTGATTTGTTAACGCTTTGAAAACAGAAGGAATGAGGGCTTTTGAGCAGGTCAGGGGTATTTCTCCTTGCTTTATTTACTTTTATGCCATGCAATAGGAATAAAGAGGCAGGAAATGGCTTGACTGAAGCCAAATAAATCTGGATAAATAGAGCAAGGACCCAATAAAAAGTTGGAGGTGAAAAAGAAGAAAGGTAGGGGGTGGAGAGAGGAAGAGAAGGGAGAAGGGAGAACTTTATATTTCCTGTAATGATAGGGATTGTTTCTTGTTGCCTAGAGAATAAAATGTCTTTGACCCAATGAAACATTTTAAATGTTTAAACATTTTAAACATTTTGAACATTTTAAGGTTAAGTTCTGGGTAGAAATTAGGAAATCATCTTTATAGGCCTTATTGAATCGCTTCATGCTGTCACCTCTTGTCATCCTTTATTAAAGTTTTGTATGCCATTGCTGCTAGCTCCGAGAAGGCTGACATCTTTTAGTTGTTCTGATGAATCACACCACAGAAGCTAGTGAGCTTTTTAGCCAGCACAACAGGAGTCTCCCATAGTATTCCTGAGTGTGTGTGTTGTCTTTCTGCCCTGTTCGTGCATTTTGACTACCTCTGCTTTCATGGAGAAGTGGGAAGAGATAGAAGCAAGAGCTGACACTGTATGAAACTGGGGAATAAGAGCTAGGTTCTTTAGATAAAATGAAAAATTATCTTATAGCCCATAGTATAGCTATTTATGCCAACTCTTTATATAGCCCCAAATTAACTTTTCACAATTCTCTGCTGCTAGCATGGAGAATAGGAGTTTCTGGGTGGTGCAGATAGTGAAGCACCTAGCTACTAACCAAAAGGTTGGTGATTTGAATTCACCCAGAGGCACCTTGGAAGAAAGGCCTGGCCATCTACTTCTAAAAGATCACAGCCATTGAAAACCCTATGTAGCGCCATTCTGTTCTGAAACACATGGGGTCACTGTGAGTCGGAATTGATTGGATGGTAGTTAGGTTGGTTTTGGTTTTAGCATGAACGCTGGGTTGGAGCTGTCCGAGGTAGCCACAACTTTCATCTAGGTTATTGCCATTGTTGTTCCTGTTGCTCTGACATCCAGAGTTTTATTTGTACTCATTGAAATTGCCTAACTTCAGTCTCTCCTATCTTTGCCCTTCCTTTTCTCCTGTTCTCTCACTAGACACAATCTCCATCATATGCACACTCTGCACTCACTTTCAGAAATGCAACCTGGTAAAGGGCTTAGTGATTCTATACTATCTCCCCCTAGAGGCACCTGGGAATGTGCGGGGCCAATTTTTGGCTGTCACAGTGACTGTAATTGGTTTTGACATTTAGTACACAGTGGTCTAAAGATGCTAACCACCGTGCAGTGAATAGAATGGTCTCAAATTACGATGATTTTCCCAACTCTAAATAGCTGTGACTGCTGCTGAGGAACTCTTGATCTCACTGAGGTTTAGGTGTCGACCAACACCCTCCACTAATAAAGGCCTTTAGCTGTGCCTTGAGGGCTTCCCCATGTGTGTCAGAGTAAAACTGTGCTCCATAGGGTTTTCAATGGCTGATTTTTTGGAAGTAGATTGCCAGGCCTTTCTTCCAATGTGCCTCTGGGTGGACTGGAACCTCCAACCTTTCAGTTAGCAGCCAAGTGCATTAGAGCTAGATGCTAAAATCTTGTCCAGAATCTAGTAGGACACCTTCCTGGCACATAGTAAGTCCATAATAAAAACATGTTGTGTTTTTACAATGTGGCACTTCCTTAGAAAGCTAGAAATAGAAATACCATATGATCCAGCAATCCCATTCCTAGGAATATATCCTAGAGAAATAAGAACTGTCACACAAATGGACATATGCACACCCATGTTCATTGCAGCATTGTTCACAATAGCAAAAAGATGGAAACAACCCAGGTGTCCATCAGCAGATGAATAGATAAACAAACTGTGGTACATACATACAATGGAGTACTACGTAAAGATAAAGAACAATAATGAATCTGAGAAGCATCTCACAACATGGATGAATCTGGAGGGCATTATGCTGAGTGAAATAAGTCAATCACAAGAGGACAAATATTATATGAGACCACTGCTGTAAAAACTCATGAGAAGGTTTACACACAAAAAGAAACAATCTTTGATGGTTACATGGAAGGGAAGAGATGGAGATGGAAAAACCCTATATAGGCAATAGGTAAATGGTAACTTGGGTGAAGGGTAAGACAGTACACAATACTGGGGAGACAAGCACACCTTGTACAAGGCAGGGTTATGGAAGCTGCACAGACACATCCAGACTCCTGAGGGACTGAATTACTGGGCTGGGGGCTGTGGGGACCATGGTCTCGGGGAACATCTAGCTCAACTGGCATAACATAATTTATAAAGAAAGTGTTCTGCGTTCTACTTTGGTGGGTGGCGTCTGGGGTCTTGAAAGCCTGTGGGCGGCCATCTAAAATACTACACTGGTCTCACCCCTTCAAGAGCAAGGGAGAATGAAGAAAACTAAGGACACAAGGGAAGGATTGGTCCAGAGGACTGGTGGATTACAACTACCACGGCCTCCACCAGCCTGAGTCCAGTACAACTAGATGGTGCCCGGCTACCACCACTGTCTGCTCTGACAGGGATCACAATAGAGGTCTCAGACAGAGCTGGAGAGAAGTGTAGAACAAAATGCTAACTCACAAAAAAAGACCAGACTTACTGGCCTGAGAGAGACTGGAGAAGCCCCTGGAGTATGGCCCCTGGACACCCTTTTAGCTCAGTTATGAAGTCATTCCCGAGGTTCACCCTTCAGGCAAAGATTAAATAGGCCCATAAAACACAATGAGACAGAAGGGGTGCACCAGCCCAGGGGCGGGCACTAGAGGGTAGGAGGGGACAGGAAAACTGGTGGTGGGGAGCCCAGGGTTGAGAAGGGAGAGTGTTGACAATGTCGTGGGGTTGTTAGCCAATGTCGTAAAACAATATGTGTACTATTTAATGAGAAGCTAGCTTGTTCTGTAAACCTTCGTCTAAAGTACAATCAAAAAGAAAAAAGTGTTATGTTTTTAATCAAGTTGTTCATTTATAAACTAGCCAACTCTATTCAGTACATTCTATGCTAGTCACTATAGGGAATAGAATGAAATTTAAGATATACTTGCCAGCATCAAGATTCTAACAGTAAGGGTGTTGAGACATGCACAGAAATAAAACAAGCTGGGGAATTCAAAATGCTATTGATACAAGGAGGGGTGAGAGTTTATTTTTGAGCAGGATTGCCAGGGAATTCTTTTTGGAAAGTCTTAGGAGCAGGTAGGGTAGATTTTGGGGAGATGCTTGCTGAAGTTGAAGATACAGTCCATGTAGGAGCTTGGGAGAAGTCATACAAAGCTATAGAAAATAGTCTTATATTACTGTAAAGAACAGTACTTGAGAAGATGTGGTGGAAGTTCAGACTAACATGATAGGTTAGGACAGAGTATGGATGGTCTTGGACTTCTTGTTAAGGAGTCTTTCCACTTGAAGGTATGGATTTATGTATAAGATTATTCATTGGGGTAGTGTCTGATAGTGCTGCCTAATAGTCTGTGCTTTGCCTCAATGTCTTCTCCATGGAGTCCGTGCTGTAAAGTCCCCCAGTTATCAGCTGTTTAAAGTTGCTTTCCTGATTTTCAAGGTCTCCTCTCAAGAACACTTTTCAGTGTATTCATTTAAGAAGCAGCAATTTTCCTAGAGGTGAATCACATAATGATTTTTTTCAATCTCTTTTATGTTAGATATCACTGAAAAAAGTAGATGATTAGATTCAATTCAGCTGTCTCCCACAAAAATAATATGTAGAAAATACCAACCAAGGTGACTCTCTCTGTGGCTTAATAGCCTAAAGATTTAGGTTAAGGATGCAACAGAGAGAATTGTTCTGCTCAAGGAACGAAAAGGTGGCGTGCAATTATCTTAAACAGCCAAAAACAGCATCCAGTTCTTACTTGAAACAATTTGTTCTTGGAATATTGTCAGCTAAAATTATGGTCAACTTTTGCAAATTGTATGAATTTGCACTGCATATTTTATTTAGTGTTTAGCAAAACTCCAATATGGCTCTGCATAACTTACACAATACACCATGAAAATGACTCCAGAAACTCCCACAGAAGTTGACAAATTGGGCATCTAATGCTTTTAAGCTAATTGCATGCTTAGTGGGTGAAGGCTTAACTTAGTTAAGAATGGAGATCAGAGTTTCATGGAGATAACGTTCTGCCTACTGCCACGCTAAATAAAACCCAGCCCTGTATCAGAAATATTACAGAAGCCTTAAAGAAGAAACTAATGTGAGGTTTTTATTCACCATTCTACTTAGTCTTAACGTGAAGTGCTCATGATTCATGTGCAATATCATAGCAGTTTTGCATTCTGTTCTTGAATTCTCAAGCTGTTATTTTCAGGAAATTTAGAAACAAATTGCTACGTGATGAAGAGTAATTTGATGCCATTGCTTATGTCATTTATTTTTCCTTCCTTGCAGGCTGGAAGAAAGGAAAGGAGTAATACCCTGAATATTGCCATAGACAACATGTGCAAGAAGACAAGAGATCTTCGCAGACAGGTAAAGGAAGAGAGAGACATGGAGACAGAAACATACATAGCAAAATGCACCTTTTATTGGTTGCTGGAATATTTAGTTCTTGTTTATGACCAATCTAAGTTAATTTATACCGTAACACAAAACAAAAACAAATATGTACTTCCCACATTTATATACCTCAGACATTTTTGTGGCGAACAAAGTAGACAGAAGGGCATGGAGCTTAATGTCAGGCAGAATGACATTCAATCCTGCTCTGCCCTCATCAGCTGTGTCGTCTTGGGCATGGATTTCCTCTCTCTGAGTCTTTTTTCACCTATAAAGTGAGATTAATAATACAAAATAGGGCTGAGGGGATTAAATGAAATGCCTATCAGTGCCTGGTACATAGTGGGTTTCTAGGGAGTGTTGTTAAGTTAATTTTATTAAATTACAAATGGAATTTCTACATGATCAATGTAATTGCTGTCACTGAATTGTACACATGAAAATTGTTGAATTGACAAATGTATTATTATATTTTTACAATAATTTAAAAAAACCCTGGATTTATCACCCAAATGCTTACAGCAAAGCTCTTAATTCAGAGACCCAACTAATTATTTTTTCCGACTTCTTTCAGGATGCTTCAGAATTACTTTCCGTTTAATTTGAGGCTACTTTTGCATCTTTGGTCATGAGAACTATAGGACTAGAAAGGATTTTACTAAACAATTCTATAGCAAGCTACTTTTTTTCTCCAGAAATATGGAGGCTATTGTCCAAGACCTTTGCTTTCCATTCCACTTCAACTACTTAATAACCAGAGTATTTTTTCATGTGAAAGTTTAACTTGATCACCGTTAATCAATAAGAGAGCAACAAAAAGCTTTTCAACCTTTTGCCATATATCATCGTAGTTTGTTGGGAAGATTGAGTAAAATGGGCTGAGCAATCTTTTAATTCAGAGAAGTTTTGGAAATTGAATAAATAGGGATCCCTAGCCAGTTAATATGAGCTGTGTAGAAACACAGTTTTCAAGGCTGGGAAAATCCTTATTTCTCAACTTTACGGCTTTAATGTGAATTGTATTTCCACTGACCTCACTTATCAACGCTTAGAATCCTGGAATGTAAGGGCTGGAAGGGATTTCACACAACTCGTCTTACAATGCTGCTGAGAAATCAGGCTGGTGTGGTGATGAAACCAGCCTTAGGAGGAATGGGGCACTTAGTCAGAACAAGGACCAGGGACTCTCACCTTCAGTGCCATCCTCCCTTTTCATTGCGTGACTTCTATTCTCTGATCTTCTTTGGGATTTCTACCCTATCATCTCTGCTCAGGACTCAGAGAAGATATTTCTATGAGCGATCAGCAACTGAATCTTTTATTCCTGTCTTACCCCTCTATACTGCCTTCAACAAAGCTATACAGAAAGACATAGTCTATATTTATACCTCCAAAACTTTTGGCATCATTATTTTCTAAAAGAAAGTCAAGAAAAAGAAATCCCTTGTACGTAGGTTTGCCAGATTTGGCAAATAAAAATACTTATATTAAAAATAGTTATTTACTGGAAATTAAAATTTAACTTAAAAAACAAAAAACAAAAACATTGCTGTCGAGTTGCTTCCAACTCATAGCGACCTTATAGGACAGAGTAGAACTGTCCCATAGGGTTTCCAAGGAGGAGCTGGTGGATTTGAACTGCTGACCTTTTGGTTAGCAGCCAAGCTCTTAACCACTGTGCCACCAGGGCTCCCAAATTTAACTTGGGATCCTGTATTTTCACTGGCAACCCTACTTGTATATTTCCATCAGTGAGATATGGAAATAGCATTATTAATACCTTTCCTCATAGTAAGGAGAAGTTTGTAGCTTATAGGAAACTGTTTGTAGGAGGTACGCAAATTTCATCTGGTTTTGGAACTCAACATCTGTATTGTTTCAGTTATCTATTACTGCTTAACAAACCACATCAAACAACAGCAACCATTCTACCATGTTTCATGATCCCGTGGGTTAGCTGGGGGATAGTTGAGGGAGGTGGGGGTTGGCAGGCCTGTTTCTGTACCGTTTTCACTTGTGGTCTCCAGGTGGTGGCAGTCAGATGGAGAGTGGTTAGGTTCTGGGCTGGGTGTTTGGGACCTCAGTTCTCTGTCTCTTCTCTCCATGTGGTTGCTAATATTCTATGACCCATCCGTGTGACTTCTCTTTGCTATAGAGTAGCCTGGATTTCTTATATGACAGTTCAGGGCTCAAAGAAGGGGAAGTGGAATCCGCTAGGCCTTGCTAATGACTGGTTTTCAAAGATGCTGAATGTTGTTTTCTCCTCATTCCGTTGGTCAGAACAGTCACAATCCCAGGCCCAGGTCAATTGGAAGGGGCAGAAGCTCTGCCTCTTATAGGCGAAGTGGTATATGCATACTGGAGGGGGCAGGATTGTTAGGAGCCTTCTTTGGAGTCATCCATAGTAATTGATGTGATCCTTTCTCTCTGTTCTCACTTGCCCACCCCAGGACTTCCGTCCTGACGTTTATTCTTTTGGCAGTAGTTAAAACAGAAACCTGAGTCATCTCCACCTCCTTTTGTTCTTTGCAAAGTTTATCTAACAGTTTGTTTTAAGCATTGTATGTAGGCTCTTTCACACAGTAAGGAGAAAGCCCTACCCTTACAACGTATTTCTTTGGAATATTTAATATTTACCTCGTTTTGTAACTGTTTTGTTTTTTGTTTTTGAGTAAAAATTAAGTAGAACTCATCTTCTAGCTCATTCCTTTGCTTATTGGTGGCTTTTCCATCATCAACCCAGAAATATTTTCATTTTGATTCAGAGAATGATTGGGTTTCTTCCATGAGGAATGACATAGATGGCTTAGATATATATGGTGAGAAGCAAGTTAAACAGTTTGGAGCATCAAGATGGAGTGTCCTAGGAGATGATTTAATATCTGTTTGTTTCAACTTCCATGTCTTTTTGACTTCCTTGCCTGTTTTGCTAGAGAAGGAAGATAAAAGTCCTTGGCATGGTTTTCCAGGTTCTCTGTGATTTGGCCCCAGCTTAATCTCCATTATTCTTAATGTTCTTTCTCTTTCAACTCTCCTTCTCAGTTCCTCCTTCTCATACACCAAAACGTTACCCTATTGTCTCACTGAAGAGTCTACTTACGATACACTAAATTTTCTATTGCTGCCCCCCAAACACACATGTAGCTTTGTACATATGGTTTGTTTTGTGTGGTGCTCTCCTATTTCACTACCTTCCCATTGCCCGGACTCCCCCATAACACCTCCCAGAGATGGAGGAAGTTCAAGGCCAGTGTAAGTGCTGCTCCCAGAAAAGCTTTGCCATTTTATCCAGCTGTAAATGCTCTGTTTCTTCCCTGAGCACTTATGCCTTGTGTAGTTCTAGTACGGCAGTGGTCATATCCTGGTTTTTCTTTTCTTCCCATTCGATTTTAAACCCTTATAATGACGGTAATGACAATATCTCTTATTTAGTAAATGGTTTTGCCTTCTACCAAGTGTTGTCCTTATATTATTGATTTTTATCCCAGTAATAAGAAACAATGCCATGATATTATTTTCTCTAGTTTTCAGGGGAGTCAACTTACCAAATTTCACCCAGCTAAGTGGTAGAGCCAAGGTCCTAGCCCAGGTGCATTTGATCCAGCCCATGTTTGTAACCACCATGCCCAGGGACATTGGCTTGTTCATCTTTGGAACCCCTAGTGCCTACTACACTGACTTTACCATCATATTTTTTTCCTTTTTTATTGTGTTTTAAATTTCTTCTTTTTTTATTCTCCTTTTCCTCTATTCATTTGAGAACTGCATACCTACTGGAACTCTCAGTAAAGAGGGAAGGGTTTGAAAACTCCTTTACTGCATTAAAAAAATTAGCCCAACTGAATATATCCCATTTCTAATGTAGTATGCAGAGTGAAACATACATTTGATTTCACTACAGGCAGTTTAAATTTGTTTGTGTGTATACTGAGGGAAAAAAAAAAGAAAACAACCTTACATAAGTGCCAAAATAAAGACTTCATCTACATCAAATAAAATAAGATTCTGATAAAAACAAAGGAAAAACTAGATTAATCCTCTAGTTGCTGAGTTGCTGAATTGCTATATCTATCTCTTCTCCATGTTGGCAGTAACTGTACCATGCTCAGAAAAAATACATAGGATCTTATACCTCCCAGTCATCATCCTCATCATCAAATAATATTAAATATCTGAAAGGTACACGTCCTGTTAAATTGACGCAGTAGATATATGCTGAATAATTTTTAGTCGACTTACTTCCTATTAATCAATTGAAATAGCCAAACAGAAAAAAAAAAGCTTTGAAAATCATATTTTACTATTTGCCTTTAAATTAAAATGTCATGAATATACAAAAAATGGGTTTCGCTGGTTTTCAGAGGATAATTCTTTTGTAAAACACTTCCTCGTCTTTGTATTCCTCTTCCCCTCACAATTTCTTTCTTTCTGTCCCTTACCCCCCCCCTTTTTGGTGGGGGGGTCCTTCTTATGGTTTCAAGATAGAGCTTTTGCTTTTGAGCTTCGATTGTAGAGAAATATTTTATTTGAGATCCCAAACCACTTACACCAGAGGGAAATAGAAGAATTGATGTCTCAATGCCTTTTATTAAACTATAGTGAGAAAAGATGGAAAGCCCCTGTTTCGTTTTGTGCCTGACATCCTTCATGTCTGGCAACAAACAGGCATTTATTGAAAATACATGCCTCCAACTCCTATTGGTCTCCTACTGACTCAGATTTAGTGCTGCGGCTTCTAAGGTTGTATTATTTCTACAGTGGCATATTGGATTCTTCTTTACCCCTTTCGTGCCCTGAGGTGCATATAATGCCTGTAAACTTTTTCAGCCTCTGGGGTTTATTGGGATCCTGCTATACCACCGACAGTACATGCTGCTGCAAGGCAGGGACCTTTATGCCTGTTTGAAACCAGAAAAACAGGCATGTGCTGCAAATTACTATTTTTACAGGATATCGTATGAGGTGTCTGAATT